TAGTAATATCTGTTCATCTCGTTTTTATAGGACGTCAGGGCCGAAAAGGCTAAACAGGTATGCAACACAAGAACTGGCTAAATTTCACCACTCACCACCGGTGGTTCACTGGAACTGAAGAAGTCAAAAGTAGCCCAACAAATATCAGTTGGCGGTCGTGCATCCAAGCCACTTTTTACCACACGAGTTACGGAACTAAAAGCAGGTACGTAGGGAAAAAAGAAAAGAAAAAAAACATCTTAGCGCAAGCTGCATTGTGATAGAGTTTTCAGACGACGTTTCTTTACCACGTGTTCGCTTCCCTACAGGCATGGTGTCATCCTCGGCATCACTTTTGCCTCATTAATAAAATTACTGTGAGAACACTGCAGGCGTCACCTTTCCTTAGGTTTCGCGTTAGTGAATTTGAAAGAGCCTTACCTACAAGTTTACTGCCTTAGTTTTCTGTTTTTTTTTTATTTCGCAAGCAATAATTTCTATGTGCATATGACCGCAGCCCGTGTAACAAGGAAAAGAAACGTGGCTGGTACAATCGCGAAAGAAAAACTGAAACATATCTTTACAGCAATTGTTGATGTTTTCTTGTGTTGTAATTTATAAAGACTTCTGCAATATACTGCGCTTGTTGGCAGCTACCACACTGTTTGACGAGGATGCAGCCACGTTGATGCCTGGTGGCACTTCTGCATCGCTAAAATTATTGTCGATGATACTTAATAGTGTCTGTGGTACCTGAAGCATAAAACATACGTTTTTCGATGCATACGGCGAATTGCGCAGAACAATGACATCAACGACTCATATTAGACATTCGTCACTCAATATGCACTGCTTCAAAGCGTAAAGTTAGTCACAATTGACAAGGTGCGTTCTCTCTAGTGATAGGGAGTCCAACATCTTTGATTCTACATGCGGTACGACAAAAGCTTCAGGAACATGAGATGCAGAATTGCTTAGGTTGAGCGCTAAATGCATGAACAATTTTCGCTTCTCGTCCCTCGTCGAACCAAAGAGTGGCGTTTGCTCATTGATGACATTAGCTTTCTGCCGCTCCTATTGCAGCAGGCATAATAGTCGACTATCGCACTCGAAGCAATACGCACCGGTGCATGTGGAGTTGTATGCCGCCACAAAACAACATGCGATGCCTGTGTAAAACCAATTTCACAAAACCGATTCGTCTCCTTCACTGTCCTGAGACTATTGATGCATGTCTTAGTAAGCGCTCGTCAGTGCCATTATGAAGTACATTTAAGCTCTGGATGTATAACATCACTCTCTTCATAGAAATGCCCTTTGATAGTGACTCACAGTGAATTACTCCAGATCATAGATCTACAGTTTTTTATAATTTAGCGATCGTTATCTTATTACGGTAGGACACGAGAATTTGTAAGACACTGAATTTTCCAACCAATGGAAAGTAAAAATCACGCCTTGACTTGTGCCCCAGTTCAAAACGACCTTGGAGTCAACGTCCACCACACCTCATGTCACATGTCTGCTTCATTAAAAGGTGGCCTGCCTCCTTGGTCATTGCCTATCCTTACAGAAAAGCTATGCCGCTTTATGGGAAGAAATCAGGGCATTATATATTAATAAATAAAATAAACTGTTAATTCTATAGAATAGACTCAACAGAGATTTCAGTGAAACTTGAGAACAAACCAGAACTACAGAAGCGATCTAGGGAGGTGGTACACGGAAATTTTTAAGACACTGAATTTGCCAGCCAATGGAAAGTAAAAAATCACGCCTTGACTTGTGCCCCAGCTCAAAACGACCATGGAGTCAACGTCCACCACACCTCATGTCGCATGTCTGCTTCATTGAAAGGTGGCCTGCCTCCTTGGTCATTGCCTATCCTTACAGAAAAGCTAAGCCACTTGATGGGAAAAAAATCAGGGCAATATATATTAACAAATTAAAATAAACTGTTAATCCTATAGAATAGACTCAACAGAGATTTCAGTGAAACTTGAGAACAAACCAGAACTCCAGAAGCGATCTAGGGAGGTGGTAAACTGTGACTCCAAGTTTTAGCACTGTGTTGTTCGGCAACCAGAAAAATAATTGAAGAATATATGCTGGCGCGTAAGAAAAGAACAATTTGCTTAACGTGTGTGCTGTAGGCATCATTTTTATACGGACCAGCCAAAGAGTAAGCGCGTAGCTGTCAACATGGCATTCTCTCGATTCACTTTAAGTGTTCCGATGAGGATTGGCGTGTTTCGTAAATTGGAAAGTAGTGTTTGTCTTAAGGGCTTGCTATGCAGATCGACCACACTAGTGATTACAAGGTAACTTAGGGAGACATTTAAAGAAAGCACTCACTTTCCTAATATTTCGTGGTGCAGGAATATTTGAATTACTGAGTCATGCGAGCACAATCGAGCCGACAAAACTTTAGTGATGCTCCGAAGGAGCTCACGGCGAGGAAGGTTGGTTTTATGACGGTCCCTAGCTCACCGCGGGATGCTTCCAAGTTGCCATCACAAACCACGCTTTTTCGCTCTATCAAAAAAAAAAAAACTCGACGGCATATAGGGGTACTTATTGTGGTAATATAAATATCCTCTTCCTTGTTCCTGTTAGCTGGTGCGTGAGGTATCATGTAACGTCGAGCACTGCCGGGAGTAGATCTAGGAGTACCTATGTATTGTTTGCTACGTGGTCGTTTTTTAGTGCTGGTAATAGTGATTGATGTTTACGACGTGGTGAATTGATAGTGCTGCAGCCATAATATACGTTACACCCAAAATAAAATCTAAATTGCGCAGTATTGCAAATATGTTTGACTACCTCAGTCAGCTGTGCGTTGGTGTATTGACTGCCATGCAAAAGTGCGTGGCTTTTATTCCTACTTGAATTGAGAGTTTATATTTGGCGTGCACAGCCCCTCCGAGGACAGGACATGGCCGGGTAAACACTGGTGGTGTGAAAATATGCCATGCATTAGTGTATCATCATAGTGTCTGTTGTCGCTTTCCCAGAGTACAGATACGAACCCTGAACCACCTGTGGCACCTACTCTTGTATCAATGTGCGTGGTACATGGATACGTGTCACACTTGACACGATGGAACGGTTTGTCATGAAACAGCGGCAGGATTCTCATTTTCTATGTGTCAAGGTCAAAACGTTGATGTTCGCTATAGCTTATTGCACTTCTATGCCAATTTTTTGTATAAAAAGTTGAGACTTGGGCCATGAGAAGATGCAGTATGCATGCGGCTGGATATATAGAAATAATTATAATGAGTCAGGCAGATATAAACGTTCCTAGAGCATTCAGTTTACTTATAAAGATGTTGCATTTGAAAAGAATACAAAGCGCCAGGTGTTCTACTCCTCTGGATGATGTATTGTATATGATTGCAAACATTGCTTAAGGTTTCAGAGAACCATATTAGTAAGGATATAATTCTGGTTTTTTATGGCGAATCAGCAAAATGCACCTGCTCGAGACATTTGTTGTTTTTATTTTTAATACAGAGCCAAGCCAAGTGGGATTAGCAATGACATTGCTGTTGGCATTTTATGTGCTTACGACTCAAGTCTACAAAACAGTCGTCTGTAAGTCAGGTTTCTCCATACACGAGAATCAGTTTGGAAGTTTTAACACCTGTCAGACCATAAAATTTTTTGCTGATCCTAATTGCCGCAGTAGCAACTCTGCCTTTGATTGGCAGTTTTTTTATTCCTATATATTGTATGCTTTAAATAAAAGGAATGAGAAGTGCGTAAATGATTGAAGTGCGATAGGAAGAATCGATTATTTTTCGATGAAGCTATGTTATTCAAGAAATGTGCTGCTTTGCTATGGAAGGTAAGCTTGCCCCATTTACTCTTACAAGAATATATGGACGGCAACTAACATGTGAATTTAGTTTTGGGTTAAGCCAGTATATTATGTTAACAAATGAGCATTAAACAGCAAACGTGAACTTTAACCCGGACCCTATTTAGTTGGCAATGTAATCGCCAACATGTATCGCTATGATTACTGACACATAGCTAGCTATGACAAGTTAGGTAAGTATTAGAAAAGAAGTGATGGGAAGATAAAACAGAAAGAACACACTTATTATTTCGCAAATCACAGTTTTGTGTAGAATGCTTGTTTCTAAAAAATGAGAACATAACAAGAAAGCACAAAAGAAAAATAAACTCGCATTTCCCCCTCCAGGACGGTGCAGTGCATGGGATAGCAACAAGTTACAATATTAAATGAAGTAAGGATGGCCGCAATTTTTTATCCAGTGTCACGTAACTCTCAAAACTCTTGTGTAATAGAATATGCGCTCCCGGAAGAGGGCTGCGCAGCATGTGGAGAGTGCAGTGGCCGAATCGGTATATCACCCGTACACTGATGCATGCCCAGGTACCGCATGCACCAGCTTTTGCAGCCGAGACGTTGGCATCAAACTTAAGAGCAGCTGCTTGAGTGAGACTCCTTCTCCCTCCATCAACCCTTAAGTTTTTCATGCTGTTTCGAGAATAACTGGGCGATTTTTTTCGGCTTAAGTAGCAATGAACGGCAGACTTTTGCGAATGTTACCACAAGCGCCCTTTGAGTGGAATGTGTGGATCACTTACATTATTCACTGCATCACCCAAGGTTTGCTGACCGTATGGCAATTATCATATTTAGAGGGCAGTTTGGTATCTCTGGCCAGCCTAGCGTAGTAAAGCAGTAATAAAATTTTTTCTATAAGACGTAGAGTCATTTCAGCATTTTGCTCGTCCATTATCCTTGGCAATCGTAAAATATCTTCGCGATGTATCCTATGGTCACATTTTAAAAAGATATAGAATCTAAATAATTTTTGAATATAATTGAAATGGTCTTAGTTTACATGTCCCCAAAACACATTAAAAAACCAAGACGATATCCTCCCCATTCTTGTGGTGGCATGGTTGTTTTTCCTAGTGTATGGTTCTGTTCTTTTATCTCCCAATAAATTTGTTCGTTGCACGGAAAACCTCTTAAACTTTCTAGCTTTGCGCAGAGGCGGTGTCGTACACAATGAAGTAGGGGCGACTATTGCTAGTTGAAAACTTTTTTTTTCTTAAACTTTCTTACGCTTGCCGGCTTGGGTTGTGAATGCGAAAGCTTCAGATGCTTCATCAATCACAAGAAGTAAGCGTCGACTTCAACGTGAGCGCTGCGAGAAATGACCTTTATGAGCGACGCGACAGCATTTCCCCATCATAGCTTCATATATCACCACAAGTCATTTTGACGTCAACGTCCCGCTACAATGTGACGTCAAACGACAACGTCATCACATGTCATTGTGACGTCGTCATTGATGCACCGAGCAGCGCTGGACTCTTTAAAAGCTTGTGATGCCTTCAATACCGGAGACAATGTGAAACCACGTATATGGTACCGAAATCAAAATATTTATTTTTATAGCTATGGTATCATACATGCCTCTAAGATCATTGAGTAGGGGGGGGGGGTCAGAACAATCACCACATATAAAGCATAAAAAGAAACTTTATCAAGCAAGAAACGAAGATAATTTAACAATAAAAAAGAAAAACACAAACATTAAAGTACATTGTAGGACAATACAAAGTAAAAAACATTTCATGAAGATCAATAAAGTGTAAAACTAGAAAATGCACACAAAACTTCGCTGGGTCTTCTAAATAAACGATTTCATCAGGAAGACTATATAAAAGTGTGATAGCGAGTGGCAAAGCAGAATTATTCAATGACTGTGTATGGCCAAACATGCGTCTGAAATTAAGATAATTATGAAGACGACGTGATGCATGCGAACGAATTGCAATCTAGAGGCGCCTGGTCAACGACTTGTATTGGTATGAGGATAGTTATAGCGCGAGTACAAAACGACGACGCAGAGACAAGAAGGACACGAAGGATACGAGCGCCCCAAGCTGTCACACTGGTAATGGTACTAATTATTAGGCATAGAAGGGTGACAGATCGGCGGTAATCCTTGTTACAAAGGGCAATATCGCATTTAATTTGGGAGATGCTGTAACACTGATCGTACTTTGAGGTTATGAAGCAGGCTGCACGATTATGCATGAATTTCATTTATTCGATTAAGTATTGTTTATGAGGAGACCAGATCGATGAAGCTATTTTATTTGAGGGTGTACAAAGCTTAAATGGGTCTGTTGCCGAGTAGAATATGGGGAATGACGCAAATTGCGGCGTGAAAATCTCAGAGTTTTGTTAGCTTTTTTCATGCGTCTACACAAGGCAAAATTAGAACAAAGATGAACGCCGAGATATTTGTAAGTAGATGAAGAGGGAATTTGCCTGTGTGTTGGGCACTTTTGTGGTGGCGATACCATCATCGGCCCTCACATGGATGGTGTGTATGCCGTTCATGCAAAAGGAATTATCTGTGAGTATATGGATTTATGAGGCAATGCCGGAGCCTTCTCCCATGATGCAGTGGTATCACCACAAAGCTTCATGACGCTGCCTTCATGTAGTACATTTTTTTAATTTTAAAAATAAAAATTGAAGCTTTTTTGAACCACACAAAATATTGAACCACATTAGTAATAAAACAACTATATAACGAGGATACCTTTTCGAAATGGAGAAAGCCGTGCCATTGCTAAAAAATTCGTGGCCAATAAGAAGCCGGTTTTGGTCACAAGCATCGGTTAAACTACAAAAGCACACTGCATGCGAATAACCGGGGCATGCGATTGCTGCACAATTCGCTTGGTTGAGCGAGGAACTGATCATTCTTATATAATAAAGAGCTGTGACAGTCAGAACTGTTATTTGAAACTGGGTAGAAGCGTAGGCCTAGCCAGCGAAAGTTGTTGTTGTTGTTTTGCTATTGTTAGTGGCGCATACCTACTGTGGGGGATCGGCCAAGAATCGAGTGGTTTCAACATTTACTTCTGACGGATTTAGGAAGTGATCATTATATTACAGTTACTAAATTACAGATGGAGGCAAAATCTAAAAGAAAGTTTACTTACGTGGATTGGGATAAATTTCGGGAGTCACGCAGCGCTCGAGCGGAACAGGGGGAAATCCGGGACTCTCTGGGGCAATGGACAGAGATGCTGCTGCAGGACGTTAGAGCGGTTACCAGAACCATTGAGACAGAGGTACAGACAAACAAAATGGACAGTCGGCTTGCGCATTTACTGGAGGCAAAGCAGTCGCTATTGGCCAGATGGAAGGGTCAGAGACTTAATCGTAGGCTTCGGAAAAAGATAGCAGAGTTAAATACACAAATTGAAGAACATTGCAAAAACTTGTCGAGGCAGCAGTGGGATGAAATTTGTAATTCAGTCGATGGACAAATGCGAACCAGAGGTAAATGGAATCTTTTAAAACACTTGCTTGACGAGTCGGGCACTAAATCTAATCAGAGGGGGGTCCTTGCTAGAATACTTCATCTTGCTCAAAAATCCTCCTCGGGCGCGGAGCTATTGGGGCAGCTTGCTGAGAAGTATCTACCGCTAGCAGTTGATTCCATGCAAGCCTATCCGGGGTATATGGGAACACCTTGTGCCCATTTGGATGAACCCTTCACCATCAGCGATGTGCGACGTGCCCTGCACGAACTCAATGGCCGATCGGCACCGGGTCCAGATAGGATCACCAACAAAGCGCTTCGGAATTTGGAAGATGACTCTGTTGAATTTCTTACTGATGAGATTAATAGGATTTGGAAGGGAGGTGACATCCCGGAACAATGGAAGTTGGCCAAGGTGATCCTCATTCCCAAGCCCGGTAAAGCACCAAGTTTGGACAATCTGCGCCCCATCTCTCTCACGTCATGCGTGGGAAAGGTGGTGGAACACGTTGTCCAGAACCGAATCGCGGACTACATAGAGCACAATGATCTCTTCCCTCACTACCTTATTGGCTTTAGGCCAGGCCTCTGTACGCAGGATGCTATTAAAATCATTAAGTGTCAAATTTTAGATAATCATACCAGAGACACCCGGGCGATCCTAGGCTTGGATATAAAAAAAGCGTTTGATAATGTCCGCCATGATTCTATTTTAGATGCGATCTCAAGTCTCAACCTAGGTTCCTCATTTCATGCGTTTGTCAGATCCTTCCTGTGTGGTCGAAAAGCCATACTTAAAGTTGGAGATCTAGAATCGGATGTGCAAGCGCTGGGAAATAGGGGCACCCCGCAGGGATCTGTTCTATCACCCTTACTTTTTAACATCGTCATGGCTGGTCTCTCGAGGCAGCTTTCTGGAATTTCAGATGTTGGTCATACAATTTATGCCGATGATATCACCATTTGGTGTAGAGGAGGAAGTGATGGCACTGTAGAGGCGGCCCTGCAAGAGGCCATCGACACTACCGAGAGTTTTCTGGAAGACACAGGCCTTTCTTGCTCTCCGGAAAAGTCTGAGCTTCTCCTCTATAAACCGGTCAGGAGGGGCCGTCGACCGCGAGGCTGGGTGCCGCCCCTAGAAAATGACATCCACTTACGTACCAAAAGTGGACGATCAATCCCCAAAGTCGCTTCCATTCGGATCTTAGGTATGACGCTAGAAGCAACGGGCACCAACACCATCACGATTAAAAGGTTGGAAAAAAAGACAGACAGTGTTATTAGGCTCATAAGACGGGTGGCTAACCGAAGGACAGGACTATCAGAGGACAACTTGGTCAGGCTTATACATGCTTTTCTGCTGTGTCATTTTGCATATGTGGCGGCAATGCATGTCTGGAAGAGAATGGAAAGGGACAAGCTTAATGCAATGATCAGGAGAGCTGTAAAGAATGCCCTTGGGCTCCCCAACTACACCCACACCAATCGTCTCCTGCAGTTGGGAATTCATAATACATTGGAGGAAATTGCGGAAGCACAAGAAAGAACACAGGTAATTAGGCTGTCTGGCTCAAAAGCGGGGAGGATGATTCTCGCAGAAATGGGTATTCCACCAGCTCAGATTGAGGCTCTGTACCAAGGGTTGACGAGGGATCAGAAGGAAAACATCATTGTCTCGCCTGCCCCGCGGAACATGCATCCCCAACGTAATGTTGGAAGGAGGAGAGCGCGCGCTCGGGCCCTTCTTCGCCAAGTTGCGGATCTTGACGGGGGGGCCTGTTTCGTAGACGCGGCGCAATATGATGGCCAGAGAGACCGATTCACGGTAGTGGCAATCAACCACAAAGGCATTACAATTAATGCGGCGTCGGTATGCGCCAGAACTGCCAATGCAGCTGAGCAGGTTGCCATCGCCTTGGCTCTTTTAGATCAGCGTAATGAACACATATTTAGCGATTCTAGAGCTGCCATTCGTGCCTTCAGTGTTGGAGCTGTGTGCAAAGAGGCCAAAAACATACTCGGTGATAAGTTGCTTACAACCCATACCATTACATGGTTCCCAGCTCATATGGGAAACATGGACGGAGGGATCATAAATCTCAATGAGTTGGCCCACTCCAGGGCGCGAGTGTTAGCTGTCCGCGGCCATGGAGGACCTTTGGGTCGAACTGGAGATTTCGTAAACAGGGATCCGCCAACTACATATAATGAAATAACCCAACATTTCGCTATGGATAGGAGAATCTTTCCACCTCCACATGCGAAGCTAAATAGAGCGCAGGCGCTTACATTGCGATTACTTCAAACAGAAACGTACCCTAACCCTGCCTTTCTTCACAAGCTTTATCCTGATGTTTATTTAACCAACTCGTGTACAAAATGTGGCGGTTTAGCCACCTTACACCACATGCTCTGGGAGTGCCCTTCGGTACGTGGCACCGATACAGCATCGTCCAGAAAGTGGGACTCCGCTCTCCGGAGTCCAGACATAACATCGCAACTTTGGGCTGTCCAGAGGGCCCACGATGCGGCGCTAGGGCTCGGCCTTACTGTCCCATCGTGGGAGCGGCCCGCCGTGTGCTAGGGCGCACGCCTTCGGACTTGTCAATAAAGTTTTTCCAAACCAAACATTTACTGTTCATATTTGGAATGATGGAGGTTTTACAGAAAGATTACCAATAGCCTAGGAAAGTGTGGTGCTAAATGTAATGCAGACAAATATTAACATAAACGAATTTATTCTCAGAATAGAGCAATAATCAGATTTTATACGTATATAATTATCTGAACCTGTTAGTATAATGAAACTGGTTAATTAGTCAACCTATTAG